ACGGCTTGGGCTTCGGGGCCTGCTTAAGGGCCCCGAAATTTTTTTGGATTGGAGATGCTCTGTGGTGCGATTTGAGGCAATTTCTGACCACTTTAACCAATGTTTTTTGAGGAAAAGATGGTGGTGTACTCATTGCCTGCCTTTATTACGATGTCACATAAAAAAAATGGTTTCGTTTTTTTTTTGGGGGGGGGGGCATGGCCCCTTTTGGCCCTCCTGGATCCGCCCTTATCATCACGAATTGCTCGTTACGAAGAACAACATTTCTTTAATTGCAATCAACATGCTCACATAGGCCTACACCGTTTTATGACTGCACTGTATCTATTAAAGTATAATTTCAGGTCTTCGATATGGTTTAACGAAACAAAATAATGATTTACTTCTATATTGACACACAATTCTCCCAAGTGTAACAAAAGGGGGATCCAAGAAACTGATTTGGGAAATTTTTTTTTGCTGGCCCAACATGGTCAGAAATATCAGCATTATCTAAAGCAGATACATGCAAATCTTTAGCACTTATCAGGGAGACATATGCAACCAATCAGATCTATTCCATAGTTATATGCAATTAATCATCCAGTGATCATCTCTTTATAGCCCCACAAGTGTACGGAATATTTTTGCAGCAAATCTACTACAATGGTAACAAAATGTGATGCTACAAAAGTGGACGTGTGCCCAACACACAAATCTATAGGGTGCTTCCCTCCTCCATGGTAATACGATTAAAATGGTAACAGCAAAATTTCGAACAGATTTATCTGGAAAATGCAAAAATCTATGGGCCTTGAAGAGCCTTGACTCAAAATTGCAAGGCCCTGAACCCTCAAGGCCAAGGCCAAGGCCAAGGCCAAGGCCAAGGCCAAGGCTTTTGCCCTCAAGCCTCGAGGCCAAGGCCAAGGCCCTAAAATCCAGCCTTAAGGCAGCCTTAAGGCCAAGGCCCAGCATCAAGGCACTACATCACTGGTTTATTGTTGGAGGCCCTTATACAGTTTTACAACGTGGTTTCAAATGGCGCGCTCCGGTTCAGAAATTGTGCACAACTATTCAGAACGAATTAGGAGCGCCCAGCTCTTAATTGAAAAGTTGAAATTAATTAATTGATTTCTTGTCGTGGGCTGATTTTTTTCGTGCGATGTCTCCCTGGAAAGCTCATAACTAATGTAATGCTAGAAAATTATCAATTCGATTTGAAAAAAAACTATTTTCAAGGCAGGCGCGGTTCTACGGGGGGGGGGGGGGGGGGGGCCAAAAATAAATTCCGTAAAAAAAAAATTGCATTAGCAAAAAGAAGGATTGTGATGTACATGCGAACGGTCTCCCCCTAAAGAAATAGTTGTGACAAGGGTGCATTAGTTAATATAGTGTGAATGATTTTAGGATTTTATTGGCGCTGCGCTCCCCATTAAAAATATGGCATGAGCCCCCCCCCCCCTCCTCCCCCTCCCCCACCTATTGAGTTTCGGAGGCCTAATTATACATGTGTCTGGAACAAATAACCGGTCTACATTTCAGCACACCTCCCTGAAAAAAAATCTGGATCCACCCTGCTAGCCCCCCAAAAATATTGGTTCTAGAACCGCGCCTGTTTCAAGGTGCCCCCCAAAACTTATATAAATATATATAATTTTGAGTACTAGTGATTCGTTTTTTTTTATTTATTAAGTCTGAGCTACTCGGTAGAAGGAATTGTGTTCATTACAATACGGCTGATCTATTTGTGAGGGGATTGTCAACCACTAAAGTGGAATTTCTTCAAAACTCTACTTCAATAATACTTCAATTAGGTTTGGAATATGTCTATAGGGTACGGGACTAGTGAAGAAGTTCCAATGTGAGTGTCGCATCGGGTAAACAACGATTTTGTGTATGATTGCAAGGTGGAAATCACAACAATAAAACCTGCCTGTTACAGTAGAAATGATATAAAATATAAAGCGTATTAATGGGCATAATATTCACAAAATATTGATAACCTCCAAACCAGAAATATAGTGGTACGAGACTGAAAGCACTTCCAACGTGATGTTGGATCGGATAAACAACGATTTCTTTTGCAAGGCGAAAATTACAACAATCACTAGTCTTCTGCCTGTTACAGTAAAATTGATATATAAATGTAACTGGAATTAATGGGGATAATATTCATTGCTGAAAATTAAATTATCAGTACAATACAATCCCGTTGCTTGTTACTGCACGTGACAATCAATTGATTTGAATTTGAACAGCAACCACGCCATCTTTAGTATGGTCCAATGACGTCATCTACATGTCCTCTATTTAAACCATGGCATCTACATGTCCTCTATTTAAACCATGAACAAACCCTTAAGTATATGGTTTGAGTGGATGGCGCTTAATTTCGCTGGTCCGAGCACGCTTCCCATTCCTGTTTATTTGACTGAATCAACCAACACGCTCACAATGATCGTCGCTTTTCTTGGGGGGGGGGCGCTTAAAAATTAGGTCAGGAAAAAAAAATCAATTATCAAAACCAAAGACGTGGACTTTTCTTGTTTCCATTAATAACTATTTTAGTTTTTAATGATTCGAAAAGAGAAAAGAGAAAAGAAATCTCGTGTTTTGCAAAGATACGGTTTGCAAAGACACAATGTCGAAACGCATTACTGAGAGAGTGCACAATATTGAGCTAGCTCCCAGTGAAAACCTTTTAGCTCTGCAGCAGCCGATTTCAAAATCAACGAAGCGGCCCTGTCCCTGTCAACATTGTGACGCAAGGGAAATGGCACAAGCCTACAGCACGAAAGTCAATATTGTTTTAGTGTCAAAAAGACCGAAGTTAGTTCGGACGGGAAAACAGGCCTTTCGGTCCGAAAATAGGCCTAGCTACGTTGCTTATTTCAAGCTTTTGTTTGTTTAGTGCACCAAAGTTTCAAGTGATGGAACAGTAATGGCAATCTAGTTCCAGGGGTCATCTTCATTTCAACCTCGGTCTAAGAAGTAGATCATTCGAGCGTGTTTCGTTCCTCGTGACGCGTGGTCTGCAACAAATTCAATTTGTTTCAACGTGTATGTTTTATTCTAACCAGAAAACCTCCTTTCCCTTTTTTAGACGTCTGCAAACCTCTCAAATGTCCCGGATGTCTCATTAAAAAGTCAATAACTTTTATATTGCTAGAAAGACAGCAGTTTAGAAAAGGAATCTTTATTTCTATCTAGAGTCGAAAATGGCATCGGGAATCATCTTTAACTTGTCCCATGATCTGTTGTACCATAATTACATTGTGATTTTTAATGTTTAACCTGTACTTCGTGTCTTGACGTTCGTGGTGAAGATTATGTCCGGAATTCCCCTCACAAACAATGCTGCATATCATCTTCAGTATAACACTGGCGATTGGATGGGTGTGACCGTTCCCTTGCAACTTATAGAATTGATCTGTTCTCCAATTCGACGTCACAAGAAATGGCTTAAGTTCTTGACGATACCCAATTTTTGAAACAAATAATGACTTGTGGTATTGTTATAAAGGCATCGGGCCGACGCGTCGTGCACCTCATGGTGATATCGAAACTTGTTTGGGTATGCAAAATGATCCAATATAAAGGCGATTTGTACGATGAAGCTATAAGCACAGTACTCGAACTAATTGGGGCTACAACCTTAGGTCTATAATCATTAGTTCAATATGTTCAGTCGTATTATTGTTCCGTCGTCGTGGGGACATAGGCATATCGTCTCTACGAGGTATTTATGAGGACCTAAAACACTGTGGGGAAAGCAAAAATTTCCTACAACTCGGTCTTGAAAAACTTCTCCATAGCGCGGTGTAGGCAGTGGCGTCGCCAAGGGGGGCCAGGGGGGGCACGTGCCCCCCCCCCCTGGAAAACCTAGTGCCCCCCCGAGTGCCCCCCCATCTGAGATTTGGGTTGGTAAAAAAATATATATATATTTTGTTATATTCAACTCCCATCATCTGAGTTGGTTAAATAGCAATTTCTGGAGATATCTTCAGATCGAATTTAGCATCAAATGTGGCACCATTTTGCATCTAGCCCATCCTCCGTATGCGAAAATTTTCCAAAGGGGAGGGGGGCACCCCCTCCCCTTAGACCCCTCTCCCAGGACGGCGATCCGTATCCACCTAAGTGCCCCCCATCAAATGCTGGTGCCCCCCCTGTGCCCCCCCAGACTGAAAAGTCTGGTGACGCCACTGGGTGTAGGCCAGTGGCGCACCCAGGATTTGGCTTGGTGGGGGGGGGGGGGGGGGGGGAGTCTCACAATTTTTTTTTAGAAATTTGAATTTTGTTCAAAAAATGTTGCCAAAAAATGATGTGTGGCCGCAGAAAAAAAACATTATTTGGACGTTGATGACGCCATTTACACCCCTAGTATACTACTAAAAAGTAGGCCACATACACATCACCACGGTATAACCGTGAACCCCCCCCCCCCCAAAAAAAAAATGGGGGGAGAGGGTGTGTCACTAGGCCAGGGCACCCCTGATGTCATTGCACACCTCCTCGATCGTTTTGCGCAACACACAATCGAGGTGGTGTGCAATGACATCAGGGGTGATCCTTCATTCCTTCAGAAGTTTTCGGCCGCGGCACGCGCCTTCCGCCACCGTCTCCAGTGCTGTATCGACATTCTGAAAGTGTATACCTTTTTCGTGTGGCGCTTAATGTTCACCCTCTCGCACATACATGTAGCTATGAAACTCGCTCCATAAAATGTGTCATGCCTTGTTTATGATCTGAAATTTTGGTTTAATTCCATTGGTAAACAACAGAGTTATTTTAGGATCAAAAGCGGGACATGTTTTTTTTACACATAGTGCAAACCATGCTGGTGGTACAAGCTCATGCGCAAGCTGCAACGTTTTTAAAATCAGGTGCGCGCAAATATATTGACGTCCCAGGAGTAGTGAGTGCGGACCACCTGCTTGAACGAGTGTGGTACCACGTCAATGATGACTTCTGATTGTGCTCGACGCATTTGCTTTAAATTTAAAGTTAACTGGACTCACCTGTACGAAGGTCAGAACAGAAGCAATGACCAGCTGATCCCGCGGTCCAATGAATCTAGGTCGCTTAGTAGACCTCTTCCCAGCTTGGAAGATCCGATAGATACGGTTGACCTTGAGCGTGGTCGGGGCGAAGGTGAGCGTCATGCAGAGTGCAATCAGCAACTCGGACACAAAGCAGGAGACCGTGGTCGGATAAGCAAGCATCATGTACACCGCCACGAATGTAATCAAGATACCGCCCATGTTGACGAAGCTCAGCTCTCGACCAGTCGCCTTGATCAGAGCGTGTCGACGGTAGTACAACATTCCTGAGCCCGTTAAGAGGGTCAGAGCAACACCCATAGAGGATAGGACTAGCACGACAATCATCACCGCATTCTGCCAATCGATAAACGAAGGAATTATGTTCTGACAGACGGTGAAGTCTTCTGACGGCCACTGGAACATGCCACACTCGACGCAACGGCTATCGTCCACGACAACTGCGTTGTCTTGACATCTCTGGCAGCCGTAACAGCATTTCTCCTCCAGCGGTATGACTTTGTAGCCTGGGCGACATTCTTCCCGGCAGACGGACCTCGGCGCTACGACTCCTCCATCGACCCACGGAAGGCTTCCCGCACGAATATGCAATTGGTCTCCGGCTACTCCGCGGGAGTCCCAGTTCCCTACGTCAATATCCGAATAGGTGCCGTCTTGATACTGCTGGCTCTGCACTGCGTACTTGCCCACCGGGTCACCTTTTTCGTCAAACTGGAACACGCCGTCAACACCATTGAATTTGATGTCTTTGAGATGGGTTACCAGAGCTGTCCCAGTGACCGTGCCGTTGGTAAGACAAGCTAATTTCCCATCGCAGTCTGCTTGCAGGATTTCATCGAGGGCCCATGCAAATGCATAGACGGCATTCACCACATGGTGCTTGTTACCTTCAGTTGTTAGAGGACACTCATCCTTTCTTTTACAGGCCTCAATCGAAGCTTGGAGCCACGGACTCTGCTCATGTCCATCTGCCTGGGCTTCCTGGAAATAGTTTACAAATCCAGGAACCTCTCTGAAATAGTTACGTATCGCAAAGCTTCCTGTCGTCATATTGGCAATACCCAGTTCCTCAAGGGTGGAAACATGCCCAAAGGTGTCACTTGATACCAGCCTCAACCCTGGGTGATTGGGGTAAGTCTTCCAAAGATTCTGTAAAATCTTGTAATGATCACCTGAGTATAAATGTGTGATGAAAACGATCACAGTGGCATCTTTGATTTCAAAAATTTTATCCACGATCTCTTGGATCTCATTCTCGGTTGCTGAGGCACGAATGGGCAGAGAATAAGCCAGGCAGATGCCACTCTTCTCTGCCAGTCGCTGAACTTCTTGGGCGCCGTGTATGCCATAACTGTTGACGGAGTAAATCAGACCGACATAAGACCAGTTAAACTGCAGGAGTATATCAACGATTGCCCCGGCCTGGAGACTGGCAGAAGGCCAGGTGCGAAGAAAGTACGGAAATCGGCGCTTGTCACTCAGTTCGATTGTGGATCCTCTGTATGCCACGACAGGAATCTCATAAACGGTTGTGACAAGGGCTGTTGCGATATTCGAGGAGCTTCCCCCAGCGCCAACAATTCCGATGAACTGCCCTCGGTCATGAGGTCCAGATGTACCGTTCTCTGAGTCGATCACCCCGGCCATAGACAGTGCTAGGGATGCCGCTATGGACTCGTCCCCGCAGTAGTTGCGAATGTCGAAGCCGAGTGTGACATTTGGTAGCAGGTCTGAGCGGTTGTTGAGCTGTTCGATGGCGAAGATCATCAGTTCAGATTGTTCCAGGGACTCCTCCAACACGCCGTAGTCACAGACACCGTAATAGGAGAAATACGTTGCGAACAAGCCGCCAATGACAAAATCACCGGACTTAGTATAGCTTGTTCGGGCTCTCTCTGGTAGTGAGCCAAAACTCGGCGAGATGGCTAAAGAAAACAAAACGGTCCACGAAACTAGGGAGCTTACTAGCGTCATCTTCATTTTTGATGTCTGAGGCATACGAAGTCTAACTGCAAAACGCCGTATCTTTCACACTGCAACTGCTACGGTCATTTGTGTTTTGTACGCGCTCATCACTTTCTGCCTTGCTTTATTCGATACGATAACTTGGATGATTGGCTTTCCTATATCTCCACTACATCACGGGTTTGTAGCGCCTGCTCACGTGACATGCTGAAGTCTGTGTGGTTACGCTCCATATCAAAGCGCTGTATGGATGAATTGCGCTATGCGAATTGACATCCTGGATAGATCCGGCAAGGCTTGTCCTTACATATGCAGAGAAAACAAATATCAGTCATGATTTTGCGGGGTCGTTCCCGAGGAACCTCAAAGATATGACGATACAGCATTTTTCAAGGAACATTTTCAGGGGTTTGAAGATTATGCGACAAGATAATAGGCACGCGTCGCTTGGCTTTGATGTAAGGTTTCGGGGACAGATTCAACAAGCTCACATGCCATATAAAATGTACATGTATAAATACTCTTAGCTGAGTTTCTGCAGTTGTCTTAAATTATTATACAAATCTATTGAATAATACTGTCTGCTCAGTGCCTTCATAAATTGGGCCAAATCAAAGAAATAATATTAAACCCAAAAATCCACCCCACCCCCTCAAAAAGAGGTAAATATCCCACACTGTTCGTACATTTAAAAGACAAAGAAAGCATTATCCAGTCAGTGACAAGAATGATGGATGGATGTTTGCGCAAGACGGACTTACATAAATTGGGTCATGTCTCATCTGCTTGTGTCTATAGCAATATTGGTCGAATCTCATGATCAAACCAGTAGATTATAAAATACCATGGAAACTAGGTTATGATGCATTACCGTTCCCCACGATACTACTAAACGTATTCATTGACTTGTTTTGATGAGGCTAGTTTTCCATTAAACAAAAAAGGTTTTTTTTACATGGAACAAAAAAGGTTTATATAAATACCCCTGTTAATGCAGGGCATCTCGGCAGGGACGTCGTGCTTTACAGCGGAAAGGATTGTGGCTCTTAGGGGGGTTGAGTGGCTCAGGACGTAGCTTTTCAAGATATACTGCCTTTTAATATATAAATATATAATATAAGGTTTTATTATTTTATATTATGATTTTTGTTATTTTAAATATAAATAATTTTTACCATTTTGGGGTGGGGTTTGTCTGAGTATCACCCGTTATCCACGGAGCCCAGTCTCCTGTATAACGTTTGATATATAAAAAGCATGCAGATTTATGCGATCCCGCGCCTCACCCAATCGGAGTCGAAAATCGTGAATTCATTTCATTCCCAAATCAGGACTAACTGTTTGATTGGCCAATTGGAATGTAGTTTTTTGTATTTTTGTAATATAACAATAAATTACGGCATATAGATCCTAGACAAGCTTGCGCTCATCGCGTAACTTAAGAGCGCGTGACCACATGCACCACCTTTGTTGCTGTGTCTAGGTTTTTTGTTTTATCCACGTCTATGACGCGACAGCGGTCGAACGACCGAAGACCCGATATAAAAAGCGCCCGCTGATTGGTCAAAATCTAGAGGTCAAGAAGCGGTTGTCTTGTCTATTACATAGACTATAGGGTGGGGTAGGCTGGGGTTGGGCAAACCCCGCATACGAAATGAATGGCTTTTGTTATTATTTTATTTAGAGGGGTGCACATCCCTAGGATACATCACAATCCCAACTTTCTGATCAGGGGTGCGCCAAAGGATCACCCTTTGGTTTGTTCCATGGGCGTCGCCAGGATTTTTTTCTAGACGGGCGCTAAGCAGAATCCCCCCCGAAATCCCTGTAATTTTTCAGCATTATTCTTGATTTATCATAATCAAGGGTGGGCAGGGACATTCCCCCCCCCCCCCAAAAAAAAACCCTCACCTGGTCAACATGACCACGTAACAAAAAAACCCTAATATAAAAGTGGGACATAGAAAAGAGATGTACACGAGCCACTCACATTTTATTAACATCATTAGTACAATGCTTAATTTCTTTTCATACTCATGAAAATGATAAATACAAATGTTCTACGCCTCTTCGTTATAAGAGCACAGAAAGTGAAAAAAGGCGTGGGGAATTAATTCAACCCGACTTTAGGTTAATTAGATCTTACGCAAGCAAGTGCCTAAATATACCACCAGCCATGCGTTCGTATACCCGCACAGAGTATGTGCGACCAAGGAACTACATGTACTCAAATATAGTCCCTGCAACATTGGAAAATAACACTTGAAAATTACAACATTCTGTTACTTTGTGCTCTCAAACCCACAATAGTTTAGATTCTTCTGCACGAGAATGGGGCCATCAAATGCAAGATGCCAGGTGCAACCGAACAAAAAGTAATGCGGTGAATTCAGGAAACGACCGAACGCAGGAAGAAACAGCAGCGTTCTAGATAGAAATCTGTTTTTCTTTTCGTCATGTGCAGGACTGATGTTCTTGAATTACGCGCTGGAACGCACCCTAACACACTCCACTAAGCAAACGCATTTCGCTTATTTGTCGACAATGCCAAAGAAAATTCTCGGTTAAGAAGAACCTTTGGAAGGGCAATGAACATTGTTCGTTAAGGGCGCTTGAAAAGCGATTTCAAATTAGTTAACTTTTCGCGGCTTCCAAGTGGAATCTTACAAATTTAGTTGGTTACGAATAGCCTGTTACCAACATGCCAAGACATAAACGGATACGAATGGAAACAGCGCCTAAGCCAAATGAGTAAGCACTTCTCTAAAAAAGAAAAGGAAAAACAAACAAAAACACAAACACCCCCCCCCCCCGAACAAACAAACAAATAACCACCCTAATACGGGGTCTTCGCCAATGCCTATGTTCCCCAATACCTATGTTCCCCAAAATACTTAGAATTAGGGTTAGGGTTTGGGGAACATAGGTATAGGGGAACATAGGTACTAGGGAACGTAGGTATGCACCCCAAGGACACCCCAACAGCCCAACAAACAAACAAACACCCCAACACCCCAACAAACAAACAAGCATGACCAAAGAAACGAGCTAGCAATTTAAGGAATAATAGCCGGTTGAGATCCTGTGAACATACGGTGATAGTAGGTGTAAGGTCAAATGTTCCATATTTTAACAAGCGTTAACTTTTTAATTAAAAACGAATGCGTCCACCTGTAAACCTTACACCCTTCCGCCGATTCGCAATTTTTTGATACCATACTTTCTTGGGTAATCCATGTTTGGGCGCAAAAGGCTAGCGGACCGTCGAAACACTCTATAATTGAAGTAGGCCTATATTTATTTTTGTTTCTTTCCGATTCATAGCTCTGGATGACTTTTTGTGTATAAGTGAATTTAAGTCCGAGGACCGCCCATCGTCTCGAGGTAGGTAACGTACACTATGGCTTATTTTGAAGACTCTTCAAAATAAACCCAAGTGTAAGTTACCGCGAGATGAATTAGTGCAAGATGAATGGGCCTTATTCACGAGTTGGCTATTTTTGTCGAATTCCCTGAACGTATTTCATTAAATGTTAACTGTGTAATGGGATGGCGCCAGACTATTTATGCAGGAACAATGCAGCCTTTTTTTAATCTCGCTTCAAACATTAGGGAAATTTTAATTACAAATTTCAAATTATTCGCTGAAGCAGACTGAAATTAATTAGTAATTAACTTGCTTTCATTTCTCTTCGCAAGTTTCAAAAATTAAGATTTGATCTCACTTTCAATCCAATATGGCCGATTCGTGAATAAGGCCCATTAGCAACCTTGTCCCCAGTGCTTACGTTATTCCAACCTCGTTTCCAATAGTATGCTCTGGAGCTGTATCCTGATTCGATTCCGCAATTGGCTAGTAATGGATTTTTATTGTGTACTTTGTGTTATTATTCACAACGTGCAGTACGTGTTTTCGCGATCATTCGTCCATGCCTTCTCGAAAATACTAATTTCCTTTCCAATTTGTTCATATTAATATGAAATATGATGTTGCATGTTGTCTGGAAAAGATCGTAACAGTTTAATTTAAAAAAATCGTGTTTTCGTAACTCACGCCGTGCTCGCGCTGCGTCAAATTGACTCTGTTTTTACCCAGACACCGCATACAAAAACAAACGGTAATGTAATGCATATCCAGGCAACAGACTATTCCTCATTTGCATACGTGTTCAAAAAATCTTGCACATGCAAATGATCCAATACCAGGGTGAGAGAGCAGGTAGTGATGGACGCGTACTGTTCGACACCCTATGACGAGGTTGGGCCCATTAGATGATGAATTAGTCCCCACTCCCCATCTCAGCGTCGATAAACCATGCTCCCATAGGAAAGTAAACGGTATACCCTAGACTGTCGTGTAATAAGGGCGTCCCTTTGTAGTCCCTATTATGTTTCTCATAATTATTTTTGTCTCTGAAGTAGGGTCGGTCGAAAAAAATTAAAATTTCAGCTGCACCCGCATATAGATGGCTGGCAAGTGCATATTGTCTATAGTTTGGTTATTGCAATGAGTTTATTATGAGTTGATATCACTGAACATATAACATATAAACCATTATTGGCAAGATGTAGCTGAATTCAATTATTCTGCAGCTCACTAACCGTTGGCTGTAGTGGGAACCATGACAGTAAGGATATACTATAGACATGAGAGGCAACATCCTCCTACCTACGTCGCGAAAGAAATATTCTGGTATTCATTTTCAATAGCTTTTCAAATAACACAGAGCCTGATTGCATGAATTTCGTATTCATTAATTTTTGTTTAATATTGTGTTTGTTTGGTTGGGTTTTTTTTTCTTCAGTTTTAATAATGGGTTCCAAACAGGGCCGGCGAAAATACAAACACATTTTTTTCTTGGGTCGGAAGCCCAAATTGGGTCGGTCGGAAATGAGAACCAAAGAAATAAGAAGGGATGCCCTCGAAATTAGCGGTAGCCTGCTAGCCAAAGCAGCGGCGGGCTAGTCAAACTATTCCTTAACTTTAGCCCAGCTGGCGAGTCAAAAAT